ATACTTTATAAAAATTGTACTTATATATTTTAAATTTCAACTCTCCCCAACATGATTTTCAAGATCCACCCCTAAGCATTACTCTTTTATTAAGATAGCTATAGCTTCTACTGGTCTTCAATAGAAAACCTGTCAAAAGCTAATTCTTGAGCAAAAACGAGTGTATAGTTGACCTCCATTCTCTCCACTTGAAAGTCCCATAAGCCTAGGTCTCGGGGACTTACAAATTCCTTTAATAAATAAGAATTTACAACCAGTCTTTATGAGCCATCGCTTATAGATATATTCTAAAGTGAAGTGTCAGAGTATTAATTGGATGCGGCTCCTAGAAATTAGCCCATGATATCTGTGAATCACAGACGAGGACCTAGAAGATTCTTGGCACACTAAGGAGGCATCGATGGTCAAAGTCATGCCATAGAGGTTCGACAAATACCTTGAATCACTGAGAGCTTATAGTCAACCCCTAGATTTGATCATCTGAGAAACATTAGATAAAGTAAGGAGGACTTCCTTATTGTTGAGGTCCTCTCTCATTTTTTCATAATAGTAGTCCCCCATCATTTATTTTTTTCAAGATGACTATCAGTTTCGCGATCTTTTAAGAGCTTGGTAAGTGATGCTACCAAAAATTGTAAATGTTGATTTTCAAGCTTGACAACTAAGAATATGCACGAACGACATCTTTCGGCACCTGAAATAAAAGTGTCGAAAAGAACCTTTGAACTTGTTTGGAGGTTAGGATGGATAAAGAACCTTCAAATTGGCTCCATAATGAGGAATGATTTCTACTTGTTTGCTTGGGTTTGTATATATAAGGTTGTGATTCATAGAAAGGCTTGGTCGGGAATTATCTCTCTAGAAGATTGCAAAAGAAAATACCCAAGAGCATGGCTTAGAAGGAGATAGTCAGCAGTAATATTTTGGTAAACAACCCACACACAATACCTCTAATTAATAAATGAATTATGATGTACTGCAACCATGACAAATTTTTAATGATAAGAAAAAACATTCAATACCCCGTATCATGAACTATCTTTTCGTGTAGCAAGGAGATCCATTGAGGTAAAGTCCACAAAATCTAGCTTTAAGGCGATACTTTTTGAGGTTTGTAAGTTGGTGCTGTATCCCTTTTTTCGTCCAAGGTTAATCTTCTGTTTCTAGTTTAAGCTCCCTCTGAAAATTGTGGAATATGGATGGACGCATTATACCTACGTAACACCTTACATGTAAAATTTGAATAGTCCATTGTTAAATGATGTGCTCCATTCCTTGGGCAATAATTGTTATGGCAGTCATATAGGTATATTGTGCAGAGAACCTCATACGTGCGTGTAGAGTGTGATGCACCTTAATCACCCATTCGAAAATAAATATGGTGTCCTTTGGGGCTCTAAAGCCCAGATTTAATTTTCCTTCACGATTGAAATTCGTTGGCAACCTACTTTGGTAGATCTCTCTATGATGACCTTCTTTGTGATCGGGGTGGTGCCTATGGAAACACTGAAATGGTTCGCACTGCTGAATTGAGCTCAATGGCGGATCCAGGATATTCAGTGAGCTAGAGCGACCGTTGACTGTTGATGGCCGCAATAGTAAGATTGTTTATTAATATTTAATTAAATAATGTTAAAAATTTTGCAATCAATATATAAGTACACTAAAACATAAAAGTCAAATGCATTTGAAAATATAATCCAATACGATCCAAAATAATAAGGAAAAAATACATTTTCCAATCATATACGTATGATCGGGTTTCAAGTTTTTTACGAGCTTAAGCGAGACAAAATGAAGTGTATACGTAAATCATGATTAAACGATAAAAATAAGTTTCGAGCTTAGGCGAAGGTTATACAAAATTTTGAAAATAATGATTTTTAGAACTAGAACTATTTTTTACCCCAAAAGAAAAAGTGTTTTTCGTCATGTCAGCATTTTCATTTAACACATCAACAAGTCCGTCGAATTTTTTAACGTTTAGTTATCTAGTGATAAGTGCAATAGTGATATCATAAGTTCAATGACCATCCGAAAAACTTTAAAGTTTAATGACCAATGAGAGTACACAATTCAATGATTATTTAAATTTTAACCCGAGGTCATTGATTCAATCTATTCAAATAGTAAAAAGGCTAAATGTTATAGTAATTAACCAGCATTTCAATCAGGTTGCTAAATTTTAATGAGTCTAAATTAGATCATTGAGCTTCAATTTAGTTTCAAACTTCATCAATTTATTACAATTTGTAATTGTCTTCAAAATTGACAAAACTTGTTTAGTTGACATTATAACATAATAGATCTACTACGTAATCACTACGTGGCACATTGGAAATGAAATTGACAAAATGAGAGATATAGGAACGTCTTTAGGTTAAACTGTACTTTAATTGATTTTAACACTTTTAGCCCATGTTTGAGACCCATATTTAAAAAATTAAGGAATTGGGGATCAAAATAATCAAGTCTTGAAAATGAAGACATGTCATGCAAATAAAAAGGACCAGAGATGCACAAAAACTTAATGTGGAGGACCAAAGTGC